CCTTCGTTTGTCCAAAGTCCTCTTAAAACCTTGTGATTGCAGTCATACAGGGATGATATCGGCCATCATAAAAATCACTGCTACAATACAATAAAGCCTTTTGATTGCCCCATATAACAAAGGACGTGAAAATGAGCTACCAGATGTTTGATTTACAAATAAGTGTCTCTCTATAACTAGATTGGATTTGTGTACATGATCATGAAAAGCTGTGAAATCAGAGACTTGCGTGCCCCACGACAGCTGCCCCAGTCAAACTCAGCGGGGGTTGAAATTCCTGGCGCAGGCGCTCTGGTCCTGTATCTCATGACAAAACACCAAGTGACAGCATTTTTTTTTTTTTTTTGGGCTAAACATACTTGCCATAGTTGTTTCATGACTCCAACAGGAGTTCCGATTAGCCGCTTTGCAGTCCCATTTCCGGTCTGCCTCCAGACTAAATGTTAATGTGTTCAATTGCCTGCGCTCCCACTTAGGTTTTGCATAGCGCAGGGTCAAGAAAAGGTGAATTTACACATCGATGAATGCAGTGTTAATAGCTGTTGTCATTTCAAGCTGCTGTTGCTTCAAAAGGAAATCTACTTGGTGTGCGCATAGCAGTAAATCTTACTTTTACAGTTCAGGACAGACAAATGCAGCTGTGAGCAAAATTTGTACGTAGCGTAATACAAGGCCTGCTCCATTCTTTAACCTTGCTCAACAAGCATTTACCTTATCACGAGTTTATGGTTTTGGCATTCAATTTGTCAATCTTAAAAAAAAAAAAACAAAAGCGATTTACAGGTATTAATTTGTATTGATTTATTTAATCATTTATCTCAATAAACAATAGATTAATTCAGCTATTATAACTAGGAAACATGAAGTAATTTCACATATACATTTAAATTGTTATTTATTGCATTACATAATTGGTAAATGAATTCTAATGTAACAAGAGAACGAATGTTTCCCTCCTCAAAGGCCTCGTGACCTCCTCGAGTTACTCGACACGAGCAGGGACTCTTCTGACCTCTAGTGGAGAAGAGCGGCCGTGACGGATCCGGTGCAGGACAACGTTTAAACGTTATCCTATTATGGCCAACAGGTGGCGCCAGAGTAACGCCCTTCTTTCACGTTCAACGTGGTGAAAGCGCTTTTATTATTTAATCATCTGTTCTTCTTTTAGAACGCTCATTAAAAAGTAATGGTAGCAGACGTAATAGTAGTAGAAGTTGTTGTTGTTGTTGTGGTAATAGTAATAGTGGCATAAAAATAGTTATAATAATAATGATAATATCCATTACTCTGAGTCAATCGCTCACACTCACATTTACACATTAGGCAATTAAGATGTGACATGAGCATACAGCAGGTTTTGAACTGGCAACTTCCAGAACTTTATCGATTGAGCTACTGTTGCTCCATTGCCGTTCGGTCCTACCCTCTTGCGACAATATTGTGTTTCCATTGCAGTATGTCAGCAACACAAGTGCAATAATTGATGAGTCCCCCACAAGTTGCAAGTTTTGATCACGTTGCTGGAAAACGGCCCAATGCAGTACTCAGATCTACGTTGTGCAGTATTTCCTACTGAATAACGCATGATCGTTCCAGTCAGTGATGCATGTGTTTTGCAAAGGAAGCATTTGAGAGAGTATGTGGATGGGTTGGGCCTGGTGCATGGGGGCGCAATCACACCCACTCAGCTCCACAGACCAGTCAGAGCTGATGCGAACAGCTGAGAGCAGAGCAGGTTAAGTCCTCCTTCCTGCCGCCCGCTCCGACCAGTACTCACATGGAACCACACGTGACAGCAGACACCAACAGCACAAAACTGGGCTGGAATTCCAAGAACACACTAGCTCTTAGTGCTCAAATGACACACACACACACACACACACACACACACACACACACACACACACACACACACACACACACACACACACAAACACATTTGTCTGTAATTATGGACTCATATGGAACCAGCGAAGAGTGCAGTATATCTTTGATCAGTGACACATTCTTTCGGCGAACACTCCTGCTGAGTCCACGACGCATGACACGGGAAACTTTTTTTTGCCTTTGTCAGAAAGGTCACCACAGTTGCTCACTGTTTGTCTACCTGACAATGTTAAACGGGGGATGTCGAATGCAGCCGCAGCTGCTTTTCTGTAACACACGCAGCAACAGATAAGACCCCATGTCTCGTAAACTGTGTAACTGACCTACTTTCCTCCCTCGGCTGCAGCTTGACTTGCTTTCAATCGGAGTGATGGATGATGCCTTCGAAGGAAACAAATAGTCAATGTTCTCCTTTTGCACAAGTCCCAGTGATACTTCCTGTAAGTAAATAAAGTAAACAATGTGAATGATTCACAATTTTGAGACAAGGCTACATGCGGTATATAAGAAACGTAGTCAGGAATTAATTACACTTCTGCAATTCGATATAATTCACAGGGTCTCAAACTCACTGCCCGAGGGCCATTTGTGGACACAGGATAATATTTTGCGGGCCCCTACTTATTGTTAGTGCGTCGCCCACTTTTTTTGCCATGTCATTGGCCAGAACGTTTTGTGTGTGTGTGTGTGTGTGTGTGTGTGTGTGTGTGTGTGTGTGTGTGTGTGCGCGCGCGTGTGTGTGTGTGTGTGTGTGTGTGTGTGTGTGTGTGTGTGTGTGTGTGTGTGTGTTTGCGTGTTTCATCATTCTTTTTTTAATCAATTATGGCCTATCATAGCTCATCCCTGCGATTAGAAACCCATGAAGGTCTATGGGAGGATTTCACATTGTCAAATCTTTGTCAGACTTCATCAGAATGTCAACGTACGGTATGTGGGCCATCCGTGGCGTTGTTCTGACTGAGCCCGAAATGAGGCCACAAGAGCAACCTGAGTGGCCACCACAATGTAGGTTAACTATAAGTTACATAACGCGAGGAACTAACAGCCCATCGATACAAGATGAGCAGGTTTGGGGCTAAGCTCAGCCAAGCTCGCCGCTCGCCAGATGCAGACTGTTGCTTGATGACAAAATTGAGGAAAACAGCCGGATTTTCCAGGAGGGAAACTTGCTGCAACGTTGCCTTTGTGTTCATTTGACCCTTGAACGGCAGTCAATCTGGAACAAAATGAATAGAAATCCAATTGGGAATCTACATCAGTTATACACGGGTGACTGTGTGGAAAAATGAATGGTAACAACAAATGGAAGCATCACTGGCAATTTTACCTTCATAGCCATGCCGCATTTAGCTGATTTCAAATGTTGACTCAGTTCCGAAAGGGAGAGCATTGCACTCCAGTGACCTGGAAAACGGTGGCTCATCTCACCATTATATTTGGACAACCTGTGGAGATGCAACACGAATATCTGCAAAAAAAAATTGAAACGCCCCAAAAAGATTTATTCCTGCTGAGAGACCACAAGATGGTGTAGCCAAGGTCTACTTTTGTCTAAAGAAGCACCTCAACTCACTTCAGCATCTATAGTTCATTGGCAACAAGATGTCACAAAATGGCAACAAAGGAAGCACCTCAACTCATTTCAACATATATCCCAACATGGCGCCACAGCACAAAAAGCAGCAAATAGGTACATTTTTCTGTTCATATCGCAGAACAGTTTTTGTTTTTTTTTGGGATAAATGAATGGGTGATTCGAACACTTACTGTACTTTTGCAAAGACAAATATGGGTGACTTAGTTGCTCTTTGAGTAAAAGCGTCCCTCCCCTCCCAGCCAAAGTGGGTCAGCACATCCTTCTCTCAGCCAGAGCACTTGACCCAGCAGGTGTTAGCGCTGTTTTTGAGTTTGAATCAACAAATCAAGTACCGTGTCAACATGGAGTCAAAGCTCAAGCTCAAGGGTATTTTGTCTTTCTGTTCATCTGTCTTTCCATCTGTTAATCTGCCACGCACTCTGAGCAATGAGCTTCATTTTCCTCCCAGCCAGGGACAGCGAGCAGCCTGTGATTATCTTTAAAGCAGGCACTGGAATGTTAATCCCGCCTAGATTTGACCGTCTAATCAGTCATATATGAAAAAACACTGGAATTCATAGTTGCAACGCTTCAGACAAAGCATGCAGACATTTAACGGACTGGACTAAAAATGACACTCGTATCTGGTTGATAAGAAATAGATGCCTCAGAACCACAAAAGATTATTACCATAATCTAAAATGTGTTGCGTCTTTTAAAACAAATGTAGTCTGCTGGTGGATGCGTTACTTTATCGCTGCAGAGAAGCGCCAGAGAGCTTTTCCACATTTAAGAAAACTTTGAACAAATTACACATAGTAAAACACGCAATACAGGCTGGGAATTCGCTAGGAAGTAAGTTGTTCATTTGCAAATTTACCACAAACTCACAAACGTAGAGGGGGGAATGTATGCATGAATTAGACTACAGAAGCATGGTGATTTAGTGGTTAGCAAGTCTGTCCTAACATGTATGTAGTAATATAGAGGTATTTTATAATATAATATACACATATACAGCCTAGTTGTAGCTGATATAGCAGTCTGAACACCTTTATAACAATAATAATAAGCATTATTATTATAAAATAATAATAGGCATTATTATATAATAATTATTATTATTATTATTATATGTATCCATTCGCTTTTAGGTACCAATAGTTGCAAGAAATTATTTTTTAAAGTGATCCAATAACCACCAGCTGGAGTTTTAAAGTTTATTTATCTCCCGTTACGTCACTACTCTGGCAGAATGTGACTGGAATCGAAGAGGAACGATCCTAATCACGAGTTTGACTCGTGCAGCAAGATGAATCCCACTGCACGTCGCTTGGTGTCGTTTGTCACGATTTAGTGCAAAATTTTGATGTACATGCGGTTAGTCGTTGTATTTTATGACTTGATCTATTTAGCTCATATTTACAACTGCCGTGAAGGCGTTTTATTTAGTCATATCGTGCGTCGTTGTATTTTAATCATGCGACGTGTGTTATGTGTTAGGTTGACTAACGCAAGAGTTACTCTTGTTGTCTTGTGTATACTCTTTGATTGGTGCCAGCAGTCCCGAGGCGTTTACGCTGTCTGCCAATGCCTGCTACAACAGTGAAACATTAGCTTCACACAAACACTGACGAGAGGCGCAGCTGGCTGCAAGAGACCGTCAACTCTGCCACAAATCCACACTTATTTCCCCGTCATTATGCTGCCTCTGAAGTCGTGGTGAGTACATTGTTCAACACACACACACGCACACACACACACACACAAACACGATTGTGAGTTCCCTATGTTGGTATATTGTTGTGTGTATAAAACTGCCTGTAATTTTGACTTTTGTCATTACGCTTTAAAATATGACGTCACTATTATCCCACTGTAGAATTTTGGGTCATTGCTCAACTGTTGCCCAACTGTTTTTGCACCGGCGACCTTCTTTTCAAAGGCACAAATTCTGAAAGGAGTTGATCTATGAGTGTGCAGTAAAGAAAGCCAGAACAGTGTTGTCATTGTAACTGACATGTGTCTGCAAGAGGTGAAGGGGTCAGCCGCATGACGGTTATTACAGGGTATCAGGAAACAACTCCTCCAGTCAAAACTCACAATGTTCCAGTAAGTATTACACATGATGATGGACCAATGCCAGTTTCATAGACACTTTCATTAACATCAATACAAGTGTGTGTGTCCCCTCCGGCTTTGGCTTGTGCTTGGGCCTTTAAATAATAGATGGGCTCTCAGTGGAGAGCACAGTATGTTTCTGATGTAAGATACTGTACTAAATACAGTAAACATAAATGGGTGGAAAGGAGCAGTGAGTCATTAGAAATGCAGTCGTTTACCGTGGCATCTGGATGCTGTCTGAAGGGTGCCTCTCATTTTATTACATATTTTGTTGATTGAGCCACACACACACACACACACACACACACACACACACACACACACACACACACACACACACACACACACACATACTGAATGGCTCTGTTAATTGAGGATGGTGGGGAAAAGCAGCCTCTCAGTTCAGATCAACCAGAGGGGTGCTGTTGTTTACTTGCTGTATTTTATGGTTGGAGGAAGTTTAATCTTCCTGAATCTTGAATATGTTTTATACCACATTGACGATAAAAGCAGGAATTGTAATGATTAACTGACTTGCTGATCAGCAGCAGGTGACTCAGCTCATGTTTTGAAGGTCATCCCAGACTGTAAATTTTCCCCATTTCTTCCCTATCACTGTCCATTTCTAATGGCAATGACATTTGAATGAGGACATTTTGCCGTGAAACTATTTGTGGACGTTTGAAATTCTTTGACCACTTCAAATCAGTCGCATGCTTCCTTTCTTGGCAGACACCCAAGACATCACGCATGCCTTTCATTCTTTCCAAATGTTAACATATCCTACACATTGCTTGTGTACAGTGACAGCTTTCTTCAAATTATAAGCGCTGGGATTCCGTTACGCTCTACTTTCACCAAGTAGCCTTGAAAAAGCCCCGATATACTTTTAACTTCATTCCTCAACGTTTGGATAAGTCTTCCTTATTCACGTCCCCAAAATAGCAGCTTCTTATAAACCCCACTCCAGTTTCGTCTGTCCTTACTGGATTCACCACAAACATGAGGAATCAGTGGAATGTTAATTAGCCTGCTGGAAGTTAGGAAAAAGAGATGTTAATTTTCTTTGACATCGAACTGACTTAAATCAACTGCTCAGCTGTTTAGCGGGCATAATTTCAGTTCAAATTTGAACACCTTTTCAACGTTAATTTGAAGGATGAGTGCTATCGATATGCAATTAGCTTAAACAAACGAGTTGCTTCAAACCGGCTTGGCCAGTGCCGACGCTGCTCTCTTTCATTCAAACAACGCCTTGTATTTGAACTTTATGAAGATGATGTACAGTATACACGGTATATTGTGGAGAACGCTTGCTCCCAAATTAGATGATTAGAATTCGGTTTTAATGGCCCTTTCTTCACCTTCCTAAAATAATAACCGATTAACTAATAACTCGTACTGATTATTTTAATGATTACTCATGTCATTTCAGGGATTGAATTAAATGATGTGTTTAACTAAGGATGTAGCCAATTTTAGTAGAGGCAGCCAGCATCCTGAGATGTTGTTTTTTTTTTTTGTTTTTTTTTGTCAAACTAGACTACGGCCATTATTTTAAGAACAGTACAATATCTACAATGGAATGGCAAACAGTTAATTAAAGTGAAAGGTAGAGGATTGTATTTTGTATTTAGCCCTTTTTCATTTGTGCGCAAGTGAGCTTCCTGTTCTTCCTTGCACAACCCCCCCCCCCCAAATTGGAATTATGAGCTGCTGCGTGGTCATTTTTTGCTTTATGTTGTGAGCCCAAATTCATACAGGTTAGCTTTAGATGCACGGCCACTTGAGTGAAGTAAAACTAAAGAAGAGCAATAGCCGCTAATGCACTTGAAGCCATTTCTTGTATGGGGCAAAGAGTCAACACACGAAATGAATACACTGACAAGGAGCATGGAGTAAATCATAGGTGTCAACCTCCCCTCCTCGAGGTCCGCTACCTGTGCCATGCAATTGGCTGGTGATCAGTCCAGGGTACCTCAAACCCGATATAAATAATTATATTGGATTGGATTCATGGCAATTCAATTTGCTTCAATGGAGAATTTGTTCTTGTTTATTACTAGAGTGCATGTTTTAATCATCTCTTTGTTTGTTTTTTTTCCTGCAGAATGTATAACCACCCTCGCCAAAACAATGGCAGGTGTCCTGAAGCGGAAGTTTGCAGCGGTTGAGGAAAGCCCCAGCTACTCAGGCTCTTCCTCCTCTCCACCATCCTCTTCACCCACATCTTCAGAGTGCGAGTCCGACGGGGAGAGCAGCTCCTCCGAGACGCAGGATTTTACGCCCCACAGCCCCTCTGCGCCCACCAGCTTACCCGGTGAGTAGCCGAGCCGATGAGCCGTCTCGAGCCCCTTCCTTATCGGACCACGTCCCATTCATGGTTTACAGGAGCGTCTCTTATCGCACTGCAGCAGCCCTATTATGACTTACTGATATGAAAACGCTGACCTCGGGGCTGTTTTTTGACAATGCGGGGAGAAATGTTTCCCTCAACTGCCTGTCCTCTCTGTGGCAGACGATGATTCGTTTGAGCAGTGGGATGCTGTGGACTGTACCGAATGATTAAAATGTCTGACTTTTGTGTCCGTCAGTGAAAACGATGCTGTGCAAAACAGTTTCATTCCTGTTTTGAAGTTGCACAACAGAGTCACGCTGCAAGCGGAGGCTGAGTGCAGAGCACGCTTTTTAGACACGCGGACACACAGCCTGAGATTAGCTTAGTCAGCTGGCTTCGCTTGTTTACTGACTGGTGGGAGAAGAATTCATCCTCAGTTATGTGTGAAGGTCAGAAGACCTTTTTGAAACCAAACTGTTAAATGAGGCAGTCACCGGGAGCATGACCTCACCGATTTCCACTCAAAAGATTTCCATCATGTTCTCTTTTATTTTCTTTCCCCTATTCTGTTTTTGTTCTGTTTTCAGGAGTAACAGACTCGGCACACTCGACAAGACACGGCAACTGCACTGATTCGTTTTAATGCTACAACTAATAAATTAATTATTCTTGTGAATAAATTGAAATAAAAAAAAAAAAACAAACACATGCTCATCCTTGCTTTTCTCTCTCTCTCTCTTCCTCTCTCAGTCGGGTCCATTGTGAAGAAGCCGAGGCTGGTCAAGAGGCAGTGTCGTGTGCGCTTCGACCAAGTTGCTGTTTTCAGTTTCCCTCGCTGTCAGGGCTTCACCAGCGTGCCCAGTCACGGCGGTGCCACCTTGGGCATGATGCGGCAGCACAGCAGCCTCCACAAGTACACGGTAGCAGAGCATGCATCGGAGCAACGGCGCCGGCGTCGGCAAAGGCACCTGCTCAGATTAGGAGAGGAGAGATTTGATGCATCCAAACAAAATGTGAGTTCATCTAATTTCGCCGCGATTGAGCTCACCTTGTACCCTGTAGTTCATCTTACTTTGTCTTCTTTGCTTGTAGCAGATCGCCAATGAGGCTGTTGGCCAGGACGAAGCGGGTCCACTCACAAGAGACCCCCAAGTGTCCGCTGATGACGGTGACGTCCACATCGGTGAGGCGGAGCTGGACGATAGAGGCTCCGTGCAGCCATATTCATCCAGGCAGCGGCAGGGCCTCCCCCCGGCACATGGGGGGTAGAGACCCGGCCTGCAGCTTGGCGGGCATCAAGTGTCAGGTAAAGACCCACAAACGCATTTATGAGCTTTGCGACGTGCAAGCCTTGATCAATTTTTCCGCTTTGTTTGGTGAAGCAATATTTGAGGAAGGAACAATCTTCAGTCAAAAAAAAAAAAAAAAGAGTGGAGTGATTAGTGTACTGTCATGAATGCGGGCAAGGATTGCCGCAGTCGGCACTGCATTTTTAGCTCGTTATTGAACAGAACAAACAGTTAAACGCACATATACAAAATGAAAACCCTCGGCTGTACTCCAGATGACTCCAGTCCCTGAGACAAACGGGCCAACTTGACTGCAGCTCCCGGCACCACTCGCTAGGCCACGCCCCTTAAAGGCACACACCCAACGTACAAATAGCACAATTCCTACAGTAATATCATTTTATGAAAACATTTTTTGAACATTCCATGTACAGTGCCGTTTTGTCTTCTTAAAACTTTTTTTTTTGAATGATGAGCCTGGAACAAATTCATGGCAGAGTCCACCAGAGACAACGTTGAGTCCATTTTGGGTTCATCACTCGTAACCGTGGCTTGATCTCTTTCACCATCAGGTGGACCGCTTCAGCTTTCCATGTGGCTGCACTAAGGACGGCTGCGGAAACACCGAGGGATACGTGGAGTTTGACTCCAAACGTGTGCAGACACATTACATCCACACCGTCATGCGACTCGATTTAGAGCGGCGACTGCGAGCTGAAACGACAAGCCTCGCAGACCAGTCGATACTTTCAGAAGAGCTTGTGGAGTCTCCAGATCTGAGTGAGACTCATCCTGTGAACAATGAACCATTCAAGACGTACCCTTTTGGTTTTTCCTTGGAAGAAGATGATCTTGCGCTGAGCATTGCCACCGGCCCGACGTTTAATTTCCTGCCGGCGCGAACAGTGGTGGAAGAGAGCAGCTGCAGTAGTGACATGACTGAGTCCTCCAGCTCTTCCGCTGATTGCAATGGTGGGCAACTTCCTGCCAATCATGGAGGTGCGCCTTGCAGCCTCAGCATCTGTGATTCTGAAAATAATAACTACTCGATGTGTCACCAACTGAGACTTATGGCAGCACCGCTGACCCTGAGCAGCAGTTGTGAGTCAAACGGGACAACTGACAGAATGGGAGCACTTTCGGCCAACTCCTTCGCAGACAATCAAAGCTCAGTCGCAGCGACAGATTATCTCGATGAAAATGCAAACCAAGCAAGAGACCCCATTGACAATGAGGATTCCCTTGAAGACTATCCAAACACTCCCTCCCCTACTGTGGACTTTTCCTCCAGCAGGTACATGGACCTGAGTCTCTCTTCGGAGTCTGACCTGGAGTTCTTTGACAGCGACTATCCTTCTGGGCCATTTCGCAGCTCGTTCAAAGAGCACAGACACGCAGACAGCTTTCATCACCCCCAGCTGATGAGCTCAGTTTATTTGCCACAGTGTGAATCAAGCACCTACCTCCTGGAGTCTCTGATTGGCCTGACTGAGCCGAGCGCAGAGCAGGTTTATGATCACCAACTTTGAATTGAAATGATTGTGTCGGAGAGCAATTGATAGAGTTGTTATGATTTCAGTGCTTTTTCTGATGTTAAAATTTCCATTTTCTTTTTATCTATTACTGTAATCTTTCAGTGAAGTCCATAGACTTGTATTTCTAATGCAATTTTTTTTCAAAGTTTGACTTATTTACTTTCCATTTACAGGTATACTATGGCCAGAAAATGAATGATTCCTAATATGGAAATTAGGCCATATGTGTATGAACCACTTGGAGCATGAGCATCTGTCTTAAAATATAAACAAATTATTATAAATATTTTGGTAACTGGCCAGATCACCACTTTATATATGAAGCTATGGAAAAACTGTTTACCTTTGTGTCGGTTAGGTTAGTCAATGTCATGCCTGGTAATAAAATTGCTTTTTACATGCCTTCCAATATATTTATGTACTGTAGTAATAAATGGAAGTGTTTATTTATTAAATCACTGATCTCAAGGGTGTTCAATTTATTAAAGTGCATAACTAGATATTCATTTATTCTGGCAACAAGAATTAGTCCAGAGACTTCAGAGAGACATTATCCGTCCATTCTTTTGCAATAGCGCTTATCCTCAGGGTTGCAGCTGAGGTGGAGCCCATCTAAACCACCTGACTGAGGGTACAGGCAAGGTCAACAAACCTTGAACCGAGCGCTACTGTGTAGGAAATTCAGAGTAGTCCCATTTTGCCTTGGATAATGTCTTCACCAAAGATGGATTTTATCTAGTTTGGTCAAGCATGACAAGAGGGAAAACCTTAAGAGACCCAATTAAAACAAGTATAAGAAGACCAGGTGGATAGATGGGGAACAGTGGTCCAAATATTCACGAAAAGCTCGAAAGAAAGAGTGATTGATCACTTATTGCCACCCATGGCCTTATTTTGTGGGGACCTCGCAAAAAGCGACTCGCAGTGAGAAGATCGGGCTGAAGAGGGCGGCGAATCGCCACAGATACGTCTTAAAACGTTGAAGGCGCGAAGAGCGTTCGATCGGTCGATGGCAGCTCCGCTCGATTATTTCTGTCTGCTGACAATATGGCCACGCACTGTCAGGTGTGATCGTATTACGTGTCTAATTTTGTGTTTACATTTATTTTCTTAAATTCTCCTCGTCAGATGGGTTTGACACAGAGTTCGGAGGTGTCCGACGGAGGAACGTATGGATATCACGTCCACGGTGTAAGATTTGAGTGACCCAGTTGTTCTGCTTTGAGTTATTTGGGGTTGGCGAAGGAATCGCAGCTTATCTATCTGTGCTATCGCTAACTAAGTAGTTGTACCGGTCGAACATGTCGAGTTGGCGCCTGAAATAGCACTTATTTTTTTAAATGTAACTAATCATTCGTGTCAAATATTATACTGAGGTCGTGTTCAGACTTTCCCCAAGCGTCCTATTTTAAATACGCAACCACCTTTTGAAAATTAACATTGTCCCGTTTTCATTGACACCGTTGCGGGGTAGTCATTTTAAAAAATATGTTTTTATTGTTGTGGTTGTAGTTGCAGCGCTACTTTAATCATGTAACTGTTACAAAGGGGCAGTCGCGTCTTCGTCATATTTTCTGAGGTCGGGAGTTCGAATCTAAGCTCCAACCGAACCCTCCTGTGCAGTGTGCATCTTCTTCCGCTGCTTGCATGGGTATTATCCGGCTACTCCGGCTTTCTCCCACATTACAAAAACATGATTCATATGCCAAGACAATCTTATAAATAGTCTATGGATGTGAATGTGATTGGTTGTCGTTATAGATGTGCCCTGCGATTGGGTGGCGACTGGTCAAGTGTGTCCAGTAACTGAGACGTCTGGGTTGTCATCCCAGTGAGAATAAGCGGAATACAAAATCGATGGACCGATGGTCATTCCGTTTCACAAGAATGTTAAAATAGTAATACTGAAGCAAAGTTTCCTGCTTCGTTATAAATATAAATGCAGTTCCTGTCTTTTACTTGATTTTCATTTTTATACAAATGAACCTGGGTTTTGGCAGGTGCAGCCGAATTCTCCTGCGGAAAAATGTGGACTGCAACCGTTCTTTGACTTCATTTTGTCTTTGGACCACAAAAGACTTGTAAGTAAATGGCACACGTGTGCTTATATATGTATATGTGCCAGACAAAATATAACACCTTGGAACATCATTTGAATTATCCTTGCTCTGTATCAGAATGTAGAAAATGACCTGCTGAAGGAGGTCCTGAAAGCCAATATGGAGAAAGTGGTGAGCATGGAAGTGTACAGCACCAAGAGCATGATGATTCGTGAGTTGGAGGTGACGCCCAGCAATATGTGGAGCGGACAAGGCCTGCTGGGCGCCAGTGTTCGCTTCTGCAGCTTCCAAGGAGCCAATGAGAATGTTTGGCATGTCCTGGTGAGGATGAGAGCACACTTGTCTGCAGTTAGCTTAAATTTCCACATTTTGTCTCTCATTCACTAAAGATGACATTTGTTTTTTCCCAAGGATGTGGAAGCCAGTTCACCTGCTGCACTGGCTGGCCTCCATCCCCACACCGACTACATTGTTGGAGCAGATCATTTGTTGCAAGATGTAAGTAGAGATAGAACTATTAAAAAAATATCGATAGTATGATTTGCAAATCATGTTCAACCTATATTTGATTGAATACACTATAAAGACAAGATATTTGATGTTAAAACTAGTAAATAAATATCATGACCCCCCGGCCCATTAAATTTAGTATACAAAAGGAAAAAAAAAATCTGTGTGTATCTGAATTTTGTTTTGTTTGGTTACATATTTTTGTATTGGGGGAAACTGACTGAGCCCTACCACAACTAGTGAAAATCCTTCTCACTCTCACTTGTTCTACCTTATAGAGGCTGAAACAATAATATAGATTTTACATTTCATCACTGTTTATGGGTGTACCGTAAATGTTTTTAGCTATAATTATAAGACCCAATGTGAGACGAAAAGTGGCCATGAGCCAAATGAGCTTAACGAGACGACTGAGATGGTTCTTTATGAAAAACATCTTGACTGCCAGTCAGAAGACTTCTTCTCGCTGATTGAGGCCAATGAGGGGAAGCAAGTGAAGTTGCTGGTGTACAGCGCCCTCACGGACAATTGCAGAGAAGTGGTGGTCACACCCAATGGTGCATGGGGAGGCGAAGGAAGGTATGGTGCAAAATGTTTATTCTATCATTTCATCAATTGAGAGGGCTTTACGAACCCTGTCCATCACCTGAATCCGAAGTCTTCCAAAAGATTTCTAACTTAATTCTCCATGGAAGCAACGCTCGTTTGGTTCCTTGATGCAACATCTCCTCGATGAGCACTAGTTCATCTTGACTTTGTTGCTTTTACTGATTCCGACTTTTAGTTTAGGTTGCGGCATTGGATACGGTTACCTGCACCGAATCCCTGCACGTTCTGACATAACGATACCAAAGAGCCCCGAGGCCCCTGCTCCCGAGGAGAGGCCACCTCCAGAGCTGCCGAACCACGGCTTCACAGAGGTAGACGGATCACCGACAAGAAAACGACCTTCTCTCCAATACATGAACTGCTTGGTTCATTCATGTCCAATACAAAGTCGTACTGACGTGCCCGTAATAGATACTAGAACCTCTACGTGTGATTTTAGGCACCCTTGATGGCACCTTCAAGCCAAAGCGATGATGTGTTAGACTCGAGACAGGTCACCCTCCAGGATATTTCTCTTCCTCCACCAATGCAGAGTGTCAAGGATCACGGTGAGTTGAGTCAAGAAACCCTCGTGTGAGACTTTTTTCGAATTTTCGAGTGATTGCGATTGTCTTTACAGGCTCACCCGATTCTGAAATGGCCGCCACGAGTCCCGTAACTGCTGATTTGATAGACAAGCTGGATCTGTCCATGTCGTCTGTTGACATGAACAACACTTCCCTTGCAATGAACTGTGACAAAGAGGACGAGATCTCCGGTGTTGGTAAGTTAGGATGCAACAAACTCTCATTGTCGGGCGGGGTCTTGAGGGCAGCGTGTGCAAACCGAAGATATGCATGTTCGCTTTTGGATTGTGTACCAGAGCAAGAATGGTCAATCTGTGTCTCGTTCATTCATTTGGATTTTCATCTGCCCGTTGGAAAACAAAAAAAATGCAAAAGTGGGTGATTAAGCTAAGGCACGAAGCCGACTACAAAAGTTTTCAACGGCTTTTTACATTTTAGGAAATGGTTGAATGATTGTTTGATGCAGTGTGTCAGGAGAAAAAAGTATGATTGAAGTAATATTTACATGAGATAGGAGTAGCCTGTGAGACACACCAAAGCAAAGCCACAGCAAAGAAAATAGCAAAATGTAGTAAATGAAGCTCAGCAAAATGCTGCTTTTTACTTAGACTTGTTCCTGCCTGATTATGAGGTGCGATGTGCATTGTTCTGGATAGGTTAGAATTTTATTTTATGAAACCCTAACTGTGGATCCAATAATCAAGAATGACACATACACGTTTGCATCTGGTCACACCCCTGCAAAGATTTCTGGTTACTTGACATCTCTGCCTAAACTTCTCATGTTGGGATTGGTTATTCATATGGTGGGTGAACATAAAAACAAAACAAACAAAAAAACTGTTGGAATATGTTTTAACACTACTTTTCCAGTAACTATTTGATTTCCTATTCTGCAGAGGTGCTGGATGGAAGTGAACTGCATTCTTCCAAAGGGATTATCCATCAAGAGCACAACTCCTCGGCCTCCGTGGATCTCACTTCTGTTCTCAGGAGCAGTCAGTCCGATTCCGGCGTTTCAGCCAAAGAGCATTCTGACCTCAACGCCACTGACATCGCAGGCTCCCTCTGTGAGTCCCATCATAGCCACAGTCCACCACTAGGTGCGCTATCGCCCTGCATAAACCCATTGGAGCCGTACGATGAACAACTTTGTCTGCCTGCTACTGATGGGTGCCCAGGTGAGTCCCAAATCCATAAGTCACCCATTCAGGAAACTGAAGATCAGTCCAGAGAGGAGACTTATGCTCATCACTGCGAGCATGGGGATGCTGAGGATCAACCGCAAGAGCCAAAGTTGGACTAAAACTGCTTCAGGCCAGATTGAGAGTGAACAAAGCAAGAAAAAAAAAGCCACCGACAATCCCCAATCATTTTTGTTTTGAAAGACAGGCAATAAAGACAATCTATATTCCTATAGCACGCTATACAAAAAAAAAAAAGTACTCCGACAAATGTGGGCCATTGGGATATAATCTAGCAAATATTTTTATATTTATATTTTTAGTAAATAATCATTAACTCTGAATTTTATGGCTGCAACACATTCCCATCAAGTTGGGACCGGGTCATGTTTCCCACTGTGTTACATCACCTTTTCTTTTCACAACATTCAATGAACGTTTTGGCAATCGAGGACACTCATTGTGTTGGTGGAATTCTTTCCCATTCTTGCTTGATGTTCAGCTTCATCTGTTCAACAGTCCGGGGTCTCCATTTGTGTATTTTGTGGTTCATAATCAGCCATACATTTTCATTGGGAGACAGGTCTTGACACTAACAGCCCCAGACCATCACAGACGCTTTTGAGCTTTGTATCCATAACAGTCACTCAACTTTCCCCAAAAAAATTTGTAAAGTGGACTCGTCAGACCACAGCACCCTTTTCCACTTTGCCCAGAGAAGCTTTAGCTTTCTAAAGTTTTTTCTGAGCCCATCTGGTGATATCCTTTCCACATTGATGTTGGTTTTTCATGCAGTGCCGTCTGGGGGATCGAATGGCAAAGGCATTCAATGTTGATTTCCGGCCATGCCGCTGACATGCAGTGATGTTTCCAGATTATCTGAATCTTTTGACGCTATATGGACCGTAGATGACGAAATCCCAAATTCCTTGCAATTCTGCGTCAAGGAACATCGCCTAAACACCGTTTTCTTATGCGGTCGTTCACAAAGAGGTGAACCTCGTCCCATCTCTGCTTGTGAACGACTGACCAATTCAGGTAGCTCCTTTTTAGACGTGGTCATGGCACCCGCCTGTTCCCGGTTAGCCTGTTCACCTGTGGCATGTTCCAAAGAGGTGCTTGGTGAGTTTTCCTCAACTTTCTCTGTCTCTTTTGCCACTTGTGTTTTTGGAAGGTGTTGCTGCCATAAAATTCCAAGTTAATGATCATTCGCTAAAAACAAATTGTTAGTTTGAACATGAAATATCTTGTCTTTGTAGTGGATTCGATTAAATATAGGTGGGCCATGATTTGCAAATCATTGTATTCTGTTTTTATTCATGTTTAACAGAACATCCCAACTTCATTGGAATCGGGTTTGTACAAAGCTAAATATGAGAACAAGTTACTGCTGATTTTATCGTGTTATTGTCACCCAGTGCAAGTGGATACAGGTTGCAAAATCTCTGACATCCCAGGTGTTATAGGGGACTCTTTCAAAGATGACAGAAATCTCGAGTGTATCACAACAATTGAAAACAATCAACATTGCTTGATGAAACGACAGGCTGACCTTTGCAATAGTTTATATGTAGCTGCCTGTGCTGTTAATGCTGTTCACTTATGGCTTTATTTTGACGAAAGCTTTGACAAGATCATTTTAACATGTTTTAACCCAGCCTCTTGTTTTACTTTGTTTGTGAAGCAAAATATTCATTCACCCAGTCGGCTAGACACCACCTCCTGCAGTTTTGTGATCTATGCAATATTACTTGAAGAACAAGACAATAGAAGAGGTGACATTTGTAGTTGTAATTATAGTTATGGCGTTGTTGAGATTTTTTCTTTTTCTGGGAGATGTCTAAATAGTTCAGTAAAAGTACTTTTGCAGATATCAATGAAGTCAAATTTTTTGTGGGGAATGAATACAAATGTTTTCTCAGATGGTTGAAAATTTGACAGTACACTATAAATTATAAAACCACAAACATAGCATGAGTCCCTCATTCACACTTTCAAACTTAGTTGCCAAACGCTGACGTCAAACCATGTACTTGCACGATCTCCACAAATGTGTCATTGTTAAACCATTCCAATTTATTTCTTTGGAAGCCTAAAATATACATATTTCACAAATTCTTACAACAATTGATATTACAGTTCATCACCTAATTGGGGGGTAACCATCCTGTTTTGGCCAGCGAGAGCTCACATCAGCCCTTCTGGCCAAATGAATACCATCAAGTTTACAATAAAAAGATCTGTTCTGCTTGGTGATACCAAGGGAGGGAAAAAAACTTTTCCCACTGTTTTGTTTCGGTAAAGACAAATCATATACTATTATATCATATTTCATTGAGCTATTTAAATAAACTATACATTAGGAACAGCTCTCACTTTGACCAAGGTCATTGCTGATTACCAAAGCACAGTGAGATTTAATATATTTATATATATATATAATTTCAAATTTCTAAGTTGATTTAGACAACTACAAACATTCTTAAAGAGTAAACTGCAATTTCCAGGTTGTAATGAATACAACAAATGCCATTTGTATCATCCATGAAAAATTACAGCCATGAATGTGCTCTAAGGAATTGGAAAAATAACTGTTGGTATTAGGTAAACTTTACAACAAAACCGATGAAATCCGCCCGCCCCTCCCCCCCAAAAAGTCACTTAAAATCAAAAATATTGTACACAAGGTTAACATGAAAACATTCTGCTCACTGAGAATAGCACAGTTAAAACAGACGAAGACAAGTGTGATGATGTTCAAGCGCTCTCATAATTAGAAGTGGAGGTTACGTTCAAGTGAGGATGGGCGACTGTGACGCTTCCAGAAAGCGCGGGTGCTCCAAACCGGAGATACTGTTCACTGTGGAGTGTTTTTAGAACAAGGACAGGTCTGGAATGTTCTAAACATTCTGCACACACATTCACACACACACACACACGCTCACGAACATGTACAGCAGTTCATCATAAACATAGCAGTCAAAGATGTAAAAAAAAAAAAAAAAAAAAAAGTTTCAGTCCTGCAGAATAAAATTGAGTTCATTCTTCAAACTGTAAAAAAAAAAAAAATCTCGTCTCTTGGCTGCGCCAGCCTGGTATGTTCCCTATGACACGTCCTTGGAAAGAGCTCACTGCATTCCTGCAGATACTACAAACCATTTGACCATGAACGGACTTCAGGATATTACATGTCAATGAGTGGCGATTGGCAAATGACAAAAAAAAAAAAAGTTCTTGTTTTTCCAAATCTAAATTTCACGTGGACTTCTGCCTATAGTGAAGTGTCAAGTCCCCACCACTTTTCCAAATAAAATGTTTAACTGTTCGCAGGTCCATGTTGGGATCCAGAACCTTGAGAGGAGAGGAAGACCAGTTATTAGAAGAGTGGTTCGGAAACTTTTTTTTTTTACACCAAGTACCGCCACAAAAAAAAAAAAAAATACAAATTACGATTTTAGTGTTCAAACACTGGCAGAGCTTTAATTGCCTTAACATTGTGCTTAAATCTGAGAAAATGAAGACCCGTACTTATATCATGATTCAATTCAATGTGCGGCGCATTAAATTAAATTGTATCGCAATTAAAGTTTGGAAAAGATTCAATGCAAATGTATTGCTGTACAGGATGAAAAGAAAATGTTTAGGCTATTGAAACATGATGCGGGGTTTTGAACATTTATTTCAATCAGGCTTTGCTTATTGGGTGATCAATGCATTTGGGGTGTGTGCGTGTAAAACTCGAGTGATTAAATGTACCTGGTCTTGACACATGAGCTCTATCTTCTCCTCAGCTAGCATGGCCATGTCCTCCTCCTTTTCCTGCTCCCCGGGCTTGTCGTTGGCAGAGGAACTGGTGGTCTGAGACTCGTTGTCCAGGTTGATGATCTTCTCGTACACGTGCTCCATCACCTTCCTCACCTGCAGCATGTCACTGGCCGACAGACGGTCCCTGCGTCGTACGAAGGGGCACATACGTTCAACAAAGAGAAGGCGTTTGCTTTCCCCGGGAGCCAAGAGAGTGCAGGCAAAACTCACTTCTTCAGAGTTTTTGCACCGGAGGATGAATGAGGCTGGAGGTAGAATGGAATTTTGTTGAACTTGGGCATATTTTTCTGGCAAAAAGAAGAAAAGGCACCACGTGAAATGCTGCTTAAAAAAAAGAAAAAACCCCTGACTAATAACGCTTTGAAATGTATACTTATTTTGAATTGGCTAATATTTTTGAATACTGCTAATGTTACACATGGATTCAAATTAGGCAACTGCGGACAAGAAAAAACACTCTAACCAAATTCTGCTAAGTGTTCAGTTCTGAAAATAGTGTCAAATGATATGTGGAAAAACTAGATGTATATCAAATCAATGTCAATGACCTCCAAACTGAAAATGTGAAAATGACCTCAGTACTCACATCTACAGTTATATCAATGACCCATTGAGGGACGGTCTCGTTCAGCAACATGGACTCGGTCTCTCCGCCTGAATCTCGACAAAGCAACCTGAAGCGGAACCACACTGGCAATGAAGTGTGCTCACTTTTAAACCGTCTGCAGCTGCCATTCTCCTAACTAAAAGGGCCTTTTTCGCAAATGTTACCTGAAAAGCGTTCTGCCACCTGCTTCCCCGAAAATAACCGGTGTATGTGGCGGCACCTGGAAATATCCGTTTCCTTTCTGGATACGGTTCTCCTGCTCTCCATTCACTGTAGGCGGGTATCGCATACAACATGTTTACTCAACCAATCCGGCTACATTAAGTCAATCCCAACAGCTCACAAGCTACTTAAATGCAAAAAAAAAAAAAAAAAGTCTGTGGATATAGAGGAAGAGGGGAAAGTAGTTATACTGTAGGCCAACTGTTGATAATCAATGCTTTCAGACCGTCTCACCGTGGTTGACTTCATTCTCTTCCTCGTCCACAGAATTGATGCGCGTTCTGGGCCAGAACTCCAGCAGAGCCTGAAGCAGCAGTCCGCCCAAGTTTACTGCGGAGACAAAGACGAATATGACACAAACAATCCGACTTGCGACAATCGTCGCAGAAAGGACCTTTGCAGGGTTTCCTACATTTTGGGTCGGATCCGTCAGAGCTGGAGAAACCGGCATCCTTTGCAGACACCCAGGCGGCGAAGCAGTCGCTCTCATCCAGTGTGATGGTGAGCATCTGTTCAACAACACCGCTTTTAAAGCGCCCCTTTGACTTGTGTTATTTTATTCGACTACAGCGCTGCCCATCGATTCACAGGGGATCGGAAATCTGAAGTAATCGATGACCTCCTGAATAAGGTTCTCCGGGTTAGCACAAGATGGCGCCAAATCGGAACTCACTTCAACATAGTTTCATGGCACAAAGATGCCACAAGTTGGCGCCAGAGCGATACTTTGATCTCGTCATCATGGCCCATATTCAAAAGAAATGGCGCAAGAATTGTGGCTTGTTATTTCCCATGAACACAACCGGCGTGATAGGATTTTATGAAAAACATAAGCAGCCAGAGAGTAAAACTACGCCAGTGAAAGCACATTTACCATACAAGTTATGAAACAGCAGTTTGCGTCAAGAAGTAGCGAGATGTGTCCACTCTCAAGATTTTGACTTACCCCAGTTTTCAAATCAACTGAGAACCAGTTTGGCACATAGACCATCTTGAAGCGCTTTTTAATCTCCTCGTCAAACTCCACTTTGCCCAGGTCTTCACCTTTGCAAGCCTGAAGATCACACAAAGGCTCCAGTCAAACCCAAAAGACTAATTGGAAGATGTTTCAGTGTGATTTGTTGAACATATTCGGCCGCTTTTGTGTACCTTTAGGACATCCCAGAAAGCCACGTTGTTGTTGGTATCTTTGGTAAGTATGTGCCTCTTGTCATTCAGAATGTGACACTGGATAATGCTTGCCCCTCCTGCAAAGGCAGTGGAGATGTTTCCCCTCCATTACACTGGGAGAGAAAGCCTCGGAAGGACCTCAAGCTTATGACATCAACATGTTTACTCACCCTTGATGACTTGTTCTGGCTGCGTGCACAGTGGCGTTAGAGGCGTGCTGCAGTCATTATCGTATTCTCCTGATGATCTGAAGTTGTGCATTCCCTTGAGAGACTGTACAGTCATGCACGTTAGTCATTATCAAATATACACGACACATTATTAAGCACTTCACTATAGCATACGAATTTTTCTTTGTATTGACCACATTATCATGAGACAGAATATTTCTAACCCAAAAACTAGGTGGAGGTTAAATTTGGTGTCATGAATTTGACTATGCTGTATTTGAAAGTCATCATGCTCACAGGGGCGTTGCATTCCGCATGCTTACCCATTTATTAACAGATGACTTGGTGGTGGAGACCCAGATCGCAGGAGGTGGGTCAGCAGATCTGTCCAGTTCCATCTGTGCAAGGGACAGACAGAGGTAAGTCTGAATGGAAGTTGCATACACAGGTTTTCCAACAGAGTTCTGTTTCTAATGCGGCAAGGAATTTGTACCGTTTTGTGTGTGTGTGTGTGTGTACATATATTTTATAAAGATGTGTTAATTTCATCGCATTCACTTAGCCAGCGTGTAGCGTACTCGCCAGTGTTTCTGTGACACGACTGTTAGGATTCCTTGCTTTCTCACAAAGTGCAGGTAAAGTGTCTTCTTACTTTCAGCACTGGGGCCTTCTCTTCACAGATGAGAACACGGATGTCTGGGTTGCGCAGGTCCGTGCAATAAACCTTCTTGTCTCGACCGCCAGAATAGACGTGCGTGAAAGCCTCGTTGACCTGCAGGGCCCAGACGCCTTCATCGTGCACACGGTACGTAGCAATGCATCGCTGTTGACCGAGGGACCACAGACGGATTGTTCCATCCGAACTGCCTGACAGACACTGCAGGGTGGCAAAGCACATTCATCCAATATCAACCATCCATTATCTGAGCCGCTTAGCCTCACGAGGGTCGCAAGCGTGCTGGAGCCCGTCCCAGCTGTCTCGTAGGCGGGGTACACCCTGAACCAGTGGCCAGTCAAACGTAGGGCACAGATCGGGACAATTTAGAGTGTTCTATTAACGTACCGTGCATGTTATTTTTTTGGTTTTATTTTTCTTAATGTGAAAGAAGTACCCGGAGGAAACCCATGCGGAGATGGCACTGATTTTAAAAATCTCGTTTCTTTTTTTCTTCGCACTTCAGGTTTTTGAGATACTTTTTTGAGGGTATCGGCCCGAGGAAAAGATAAGACAAAAATTCCTCTATATCTAATTTTTAACAGCGAAACTCACTTGAGTACCATCTCGATTCAAAAGCAGCGACTTGACGTTATCTGTGTGGCCTTTCAGCTTCATCAATTTTGCACATGTTCGTGGATCCCACACTCTCAGCACCTGGGAAAGACAATTAGCACTTAAATGCAGGAATGCTTGTCAATTCAATTCATGACATTATCCAGGAAACCATCCAAAATGTTCAATGTCATCACCCAGTTTCACTGCACTCTCTCAGTGGGCTGGGCACGTAACAATTTGTGTCGATCAGAAAAACCCGTGGTATTTCTCACACATTCCAATCCAAGAGGAGATGAAATCCGACTTGTGCAAGCCTAACTGTGCCACCGAGGTGACGGATAGTAAAGTACTAAACGGACGAAGGTCATCATAATTTAGTGTGAAAAATCTGAAGACAGACAGTGTAAAAGAGGCAAGACAAGCCTCACCTTTTCTGTGGATCCAGACACGATCACCGTGCCCATCTGGTTCATGGCCAGACTGTAGATTGAATCCTTGTTTCCACTGAGTGATGAAGCTGATGCACACAAAATGTACGTCATCGTGCGTCGTTAATCAAACACAATACGACACACGAAACCGACGGTCCGCGTTTGAGACGGCAAAGCCGCAACTTACTTGTTACAGTGTTGTTGGAAGCAGTGAGCGCTGTAAGAGTATTGACATCCCAGAGAAAAATCTGCCGGTCAAGCCCTGCAGATGCCACCAGCTCCTTGTCCTTAGCATAGGCTAAGGCTTTCACATAGTCCTTGTGTGTTCGTAACGTTGACATACAGAACCCTTTATGTGCATTCCATACTTTGACAGTTGTATCCGAGGAAGCAGATATCACTGAAAAAAAACATGACCAACAAGTCAGTCTGTCTTGGAGAGAAAAGCTGAAAATGGAGCCTATCAATGAAGGCCAAAACGGAGCTGGCCGATATGACGATACAGTATATATCGCAAAGTGTTAATTAATTTACAACAACGAACCCGTAACTGCTTATGGGGCAATTCAAAAAATTGATGGACATAGGATATTGAATACATATAATATCACTAATGTGATTTGATTTTACAATTCAGTCCCAAGCATTGATTTTGACATCTGCAAAATAAATGTTCTCAAAATTACCTTAGAATAGAGCTCATCATTTTATTTGATAGATTTTTTTCCCCACATCAGCCAGCACCAGGCCAAAGTATTAAGATGTTGATGATCAAACTTACATGTTTTCCCATTGCAACAAAGAACTATGTCATTGACCCAATCTGTATGATGCTCCATCGAAGCAATATACGGGTCCTGCTACAGTGACAGAGGACAAAATAAATACATGCAGGCCTTTATCTAGAAATTCGCATTGTCATGTGTGACAACAGAGTGAAATTCAATACCTTATGCTGGTACACACTCCATATCCGGATGATTGAGTCTCTTCCAGCTGTGAAGAGCCGATTTAGCGCAGGGTCGAGTTGGAGAGCATTCACCCCATTTCTGTTGTATTTCTCCACCTCATCTCTAATGACGTAAGATACCTGAAGCAGTAAGCAGAGGGAGGTGAGCGCCGAGGTCACGCTGCTAGTGCCATGACCTCTGATTTCCGCGACTTCTCTAGAAGACGTCTTAAATATGATTTACGTTACATTAGATGTCCCGTACCAGGAGTTAGCAAGAAGGGGGAATTGTGGCTTATTTGAGCGACTCGTACAATGAGAAATAAATGTAAGTCATCCGATACGAAACGATACCTGCAGGGGATCGACAGCATACTTTCACTTAATTAAACCATACTGATGGGAGGCACTTAATGTACACCGAGGCAACCTAACGTCAGTTCTCCCAGCAATTAGACCGAGCCTACTGAGAGTGACGCCAGGCTATTACAAATAACGAAACTAATACAGCTCACACATCACGGGTAATAGTTGACAGGGGCGGTAGTGGAGTGTGCAAATATCCGACACGTACTCGTTGCAGAAAAGCAGGCAAAAGTATATCGATTTTGGAGGCGACGCTAGCACAAAAACGCTCTATACTAAGCTAAGCTAGCCAAATTAGCCGGCTCGACTTTGAAGAGTCAGAACAGCGATGCTGCAATTTCATGACTCTTATTAATGGTCGTCTATTATCCGCGAAAGACTCGTTTAAACGGGCCGCCATGCTGGAGCCGCTGCCAAGCGCGTGGTGATGAAGCAACTATTCGAATTTACCTGTACTTTTCTCCGCCCAGCAGCATTTTGCCTGTGATGCGTGGCCATCTTGCATGTTGACAGTCAATTCATGTGATGCTACATCCGGGACACAAAAAGAAAGCGTGCCGCGAAGCTCTATGGGTAACGTGTTCATGACAGTACGCTTCTTAAGGTCTGTTGAGTGATTTTACTCCATGTGAAATACTTTTTTTCAGCCGTTTACTAGCGCAACACATTTCCGGAATGAAAAAAAATATTTAAACCAGAGTGTTGTGCTATCAGTGTTTAATTTATTAAACCTTAGATCCTAAGTGAAGCTAAGCGGTAAAATGGATGGATGAAACGTAGTGGCATCTCTAGAACTATTTGAAAATTAAATGAAAAAAACAAAGAAAGAAATTATTATTAATGATGCAAAAAGATTGGGCGGGACGGTGGTTGACTGGTGAGCACCCAGCCTCACAGTGCAGAGGTCCTGTGTGGAGTTTGCATGTTCCCTCCCTGGCGTGGGTTTTCTCCTGGTACTCCGGTGTCCTACCACAATCCAAAAACATGCATGGCAGGTTAATGCAACACTCTAAATTAAATTGTCCCTAGGTATGATTCTGAGCCTGAATGTTTTTTTTTTTGTTTTTTTACGTGTGCCCTGCGATTGACTGGCAACCAGTTCAGGGTGTACTCCACCGACTGCCCGAAGTCACCTGGGATGGGTCAAACGTACCGGGACTGGACTTCACTGTAGGGGGCACTAGAGACCATTTTTTTGTACTCGTGTAACGCAACTTTAAAATATCGAATTGTTCGCCAGGGTGTTAAGAGTGATTTTGGTTCTTCGCTGTGCGATTATGGTTGTATTGTCCACTAGAGGGCGCAGTACGGCAGCGCCACTCAAAATAACCTTGCATGCACGGAACGTTGGTAGGTTTTTATCGGTTTTGCTTCATCACCAAAGGTTATTTGTTTTGTCCGAGTGTGAATCCGAGCCCGACACAGCATAGCATATAGGAAGAGATGCCGAGGATTTGGGGCCTCCATGTGAATACTGCAAAGTGAAAACACTATTTTCTGCGGCCCCTGGCACTGTCAGTTATTATATTGACCTGGAATCGTCCGCCTAATCACTTGACTCCACGGCGACCCTGCCTATAGATGCAGTAATCTTCTGTGTCCCAGCTATACTAAGCTAAGCTAGCCAAATTAGCCGGCTCGACTTTGAAGAGTCAGAACAGCGATGCTGCAATTTCATGACTCTTATTAATGGTCGTCTATTATCCGCGAAAGACTCGTTTAAACGGGCCGCCATGCTGGAGCCGCTGCCAAGCGCGTGGTGATGAAGCAACTATTCGAATTTACCTGTACTTTTCTCCGCCCAGCAGCATTTTGCCTGTGATGCGTGGCCATCTTGCATGTTGACAGTCAATTCATGTGATGCTACATCCGGGACACAAAAAGAAAGCGTGCCGCGAAGCTCTATGGGTAACGTGTTCATGACAGTACGCTTCTTAAGGTCTGTTGAGTGATTTTACTCCATGTGAAATACTTTTTTTCAGCCGTTTACTAGCGCAACACATTTCCGGAATGAAAAAAAATATTTAAACCAGAGTGTTGTGCTATCAGTGTTTAATTTATTAAACCTTAGATCCTAAGTGAAGCTAAGCGGTAAAATGGATGGATGAAACGTAGTGGCATCTCTAGAACTATTTGAAAATTAAATGAAAAAAACAAAGAAAGAAATTATTATTAATGATGCAAAAAGATTGGGCGGGACGGTGGTTGACTGGTGAGCACCCAGCCTCACAGTGCAGAGGTCCTGTGTGGAGTTTGCATGTTCCCTCCCTGGCGTGGGTTTTCTCCTGGTACTCCGGTGTCCTACCACAATCCAAAAACATGCATGGCAGGTTAATGCAACACTCTAAATTAAATTGTCCCTAGGTATGATTCTGAGCCTGAATGTTTTTTTTTTTGTTTTTTTACGTGTGCCCTGCGATTGACTGGCAACCAGTTCAGGGTGTACTCCACCGACTGCCCGAAGTCACCTGGGATGGGTCAAACGTACCGGGACTGGACTTCACTGTAGGGGGCACTAGAGACCATTTTTTTGTACTCGTGTAACGCAACTTTAAAATATCGAATTGTTCGCCAGGGTGTTAAGAGTGATTTTGGTTCTTCGCTGTGCGATTATGGTTGTATTGTCCACTAGAGGGCGCAGTACGGCAGCGCCACTCAAAATAACCTTGCATGCACGGAACGTTGGTAGGTTTTTATCGGTTTTGCTTCATCACCAAAGGTTATTTGTTTTGTCCGAGTGTGAATCCGAGCCCGACACAGCATAGCATATAGGAAGAGATGCCGAGGATTTGGGGCCTCCATGTGAATACTGCAAAGTGAAAACACTATTTTCTGCGGCCCCTGGCACTGTCAGTTATTATATTGACCTGGAATCGTCCGCCTAATCACTTGACTCCACGGCGACCCTGCCTATAGATGCAGTAATCTTCTGTGTCCCAGCAGCACCCCCCCCCCCCCCCCCGGTCTCCCACGCTCAAGGGCATCATACAGCCGCGCATCCTGCCCACGTTGTGTGGAGAGGCAAACTTCTGTGATGACAACTGTGGAAGGAGCAGTCGAATGGAGGGGAACATGACAACATGGGCATTACGCACGTGGCCGCTTTCAATATGCCCATCATAAGGTGATTAGTGCACTGGCAGTCTAGAAGTTACTTTCGACCGCCAAACTGTGGATTGCACACGCACTCCTCCGTCCTGCTTTCTGGAGTTTTGGTCCGCATCAAGCGGAATAAGCCCTAAAAAAGAGAAGTCATGGATTTTTCACGGAGGGTTTGGATGCTACCTCTTCTGAAAACGCTCCAACTTGACTCTGGAAATGATGCTTTAAATCTCAGAGTTTCATTGGTAAGTAAAATGCCGCTTTGTTCCCTTTGTCTGCTTTCATTTTGATTGTTTGAAAAATAATTTACAATAATATGCTTGACTGATTAATATAGAGTAATATTGATCAAGACAGTATGTTATTTTATTCGAAAAAGTACACAGAACTATGCGTTTTTCACCCTCAGGATTGGACATCAACATTTACATATGATGATATTCATGCATAATCTGATTTCTAATAGTGATAAAAGTACGAGAACTCATGCATATTTTCAAGCATGGTTTAAAAACATTGTTTTAATCGAATTGATTAATTACTGTTCAAGAGTGATGATGTACTGTGAATCGTGTGAACCCACTTTCATGGCATGTCTCATGTTCTAAAAAAAAATATCTATATTTTTTGTCTTATAGTTCTGACTTTAAATACGGTCTGATTATATATAACTTATTTTACTCTCTGTAAGCATATAAAGTATGTACTACAGTTATGTTGAAAGGATTTGGTGAGGAAGTGGGTCATCATTTGGTAGGTCAGAAAGTAGTTCTTATTCAACAGAAAGATGTGTTGTGAGGGATCATCAATTTGAATGCTATTTGTGCTCTTGGCTTCTTCAGTTATTCTCATGAATATTACGCTGTGAGGCGGACATGCTAACCAGTCGTCCACAGTGACGCCCAAATTCATATTCCACAACGCCAATATTAATCCGAATGCTGTGTTTGGACTAGTGGGGCGGCAGAGAACATATTCTAAAGAACATTTTTGACTTGACCTTCCCTTTAAAACTCTGTACAAGTCTACGGTAATTAAAGTGGAGTGACAGTTACACCTACAGTGCCTTATGTACATAAGGCATCAAATAAATAGTGTGAAGGTTATTATCAAATCTTCTAACTTGAGTCTTTAGAGTTTGCTACGCTGTGCTCTTTACATTTCATTCATGCAGTGGAAGAAAGAACTGCTTCACAAACAACAACTTTGTAAACACAGAAGCAGGGAATCGAAATCGGACTACAGATGGCCTCTTGAAAGATGTCGGGATGCGATTTTAAGTCTGTGTTTAGGCAACACGTGTTAAGGCAGCCGGGCCCGAAATCCAGCCAAAGTTTCTTTTGTAGAATGTATCACACTGAGGGTGTTCATGGTGCATGGATAGAGGTACATGTATTCCAATTGCGGAGATGGTGCCAATATCAAATGGCTGGGAGGTGGTGAATCATAATGTTAATGGCACGAGCCGGGGAGGTGTCCCCCCCCCCCCCCCCCCCCCCCCCCTCTCTTGGTCTCCCCTCTCAGCCACCTGCTTGTCTTCTTTTTTTTCCCCGCTGCTTCACTAAGTGCTTATACATTTTCTAAAAAACACTTATGCTGTTTTGGTGCGGATGCATTTTTTTTTCTTTCCTGCCTACCTCTAGCTGTAAGTCACTTCTAGTACAGAAGAATCAGGATGAAAAGATGGCAGCCATGCTGTTACCAACGGGTCCTGATGGCTTGCGGCTGTTTACTCGTGAATCCTTGGCTGCCTTGGAGCGGCGGATCGCAGAGGAGCAGGCCAAGAATGCCAAGGTTTGCAAGGAGGCCCACAAAAACCTGGACTCATCCAAACCCAGGCTCGACCTGGAGGCAGGCAAGCAACTGCCACGCATCTTCGGGGACATCCCTTCGGAACTTGTTGGGGTGCCACTGGAAGACATCGACCCGTTTTATTTCAAGAACAAGAGGGTGAGTACCGTGCGTGGCAATTCTGTCCTTATTTGAACCAGATTCGTAGTGGGCCCCAACTATTTGTTGGTCGCTGGTGTGCTGGAGCCTATCTCAGCTGACTTCGGGCAGTAGGCGGGGTGCAGCCTGAACTGGTTGCTAGCCAATCGCAGGGCACACATCGACGAACAACCATTCACACTCACAATCACACCTACGGACAATTTTAGAGTGCTCAATTCATGCCGTTGAAACCAGAGGTAAACAAAAACAAAATGACCATGATAATGAGTTATGGTTCTTCTCTGGGAAGTATTTTACAGACGTTCCATCAAAACTAGTGTCTGAATCTCATTCTGCATTTTTTTTTAAATTTATTATTGGGGTTTTTTTTTTTAGATTTTGACTTGCTTTGCTGGCAAATCTGAGCCATTAATGGGCTTCTTATGGATTATCCACAGATGACAAAATGTTTAAATAAATGCCACATCTGCTGGGGGAAAGGTTTCAGGTTGCTTTGCTTTGGAGTTCCCTCCATTATTTCCACTGGTATTGCTTTTATGTGCTGTATGATGCTTTCTTGGAAGCAAATGTGGTTCACATGGAGGTTTATACCGACGGTAGACTGAACTCCTCGAGGTTTTTTTTTTTTTTTGTACTTCAAATACACTCAAAATGCATACAGATGATCCATGTCTTACTGTTTACTTCATGTTATTAACAAATCAATAATGATTTGTGTCTTTTCTTCCTCCCCAGACTTTTATCGTACTTAACAAAGGGAAGGCTATCTTCAGATTCAGTGCCACATCCGCTCTTTACATATTCAGTCCGTTCCACTTCATCAGATCGATCGCCATCAAAATTTTGGTCCATTCATATCCTTTTTCTGTTGTGTGAAAATGCCTTGTGTTACACTGCATTATATGAACTTATATGAATAATTATACTGAATTATAATTATGATCAAATGAAACTAATAAGGGGTTCAAATAATAAGTAACGAAAGACTTCTTATCAGACATGGCAGCAATTTGATTTCCAAACTAGTCTTCCACTTAATTTAGTGATACAATACTATTGTTATTGTTATCATCATAATAACAGTGGCATATGTAGAATAGTAACTTGGTGCTAATAACATGCTATGCAATAAAAGTGCAAAGTAATAAAATGTCAGGGGGCCAAATATCCCATTTATTATTGTGAATAAGCCAGCTCCAAATGATTCCAACTGTTCTGTGAATGTTAGCGATTGCTTTCCCCAAAGTTACATTTTTGATACAGCTTTGTAATAGCCCTCCGGCATCACAAACTAAATCCCCTCCGAGATCCCTCTTTTAATCCCTGATATCAAAAAAAGAGCAAGATTTTTGCATCATGACCGTTGCCTATTATTCATCAGTCAGAAAAGAGAACTTTGTGTCGAGGAATCTTCCCCTTTTTGCAGTATATTCCAAAATCAAATTCAAAAACATTGAGAGTGCCTTTAAAATATATGACTTCAGCATTGTACCTGGTCAGTCTGCAGATTTTTTTTTTTGTAACCATATTTTTTACTCACAAGGGAAAATGATATCAATCCATGGTTTTGAAATGAAAGGTAGTTTACTTCCTCTAAGCTGCGTTTACAGTATTGTGTTAATGCCATTGGCACACACCATCGTTTGTCGGTTTGTCCTAATGGATAGATGGATAGCCTATAGGATTATGACGTTGTTTCCTTAATTGTTTCTATGTTGTTTGTGTAGTCCTGAATCTGCGTGTATCAATTCCTATTTTAGACTTTCCTGAACTTCTTTTCCACATTGTTCAGCTTGTTCATCATGTTCACCATTCTGACCAACTGTTTTTTCATGGCTATGTCGGACCCAGCACCGTGGACCAAGCACCTGGAGTAAGTCCCCACAGATTTATAAATTCCATCCTTGGGCTAAAAGCACAATTTTTAAACTCAGATGTTGTATGTTCTAATATACAGCTGTGTCCAGGCGTAACGGAAGAATCGCGTATGTACAATATATGATGTACAGTATGGTGCATGCTGTACCCCACATGCAATTTGTCACATTGCAATATGGAATGCAAGTGGTCAATTTCTTGCTAGGCAATGCCCGAGTCAGCAGGTGTGGTTGAACTGTTAACGAGCATGTTTTGCATGCACCTCTGCCTGCCAAAGATAATATTGCATTCCGTTTCCATTCCATTCCATTGCTTCGTGCAGAAGTTGGCCCTGCTATTCGTTGAGTTTGCCGAAACAAGGCGGCCAACTCTCATAGGTTTACTAAATACGAACTGCGGCTGTTTACTCGTGTATCTTTGGCTGCGACCTTGTTTCTGAACAAAATGTACTGAGTCGATCAGTAGTGTTGCTAGGCAACGGAGGGGAATCCCGCGCTGTCCATTTTGTTCGTGAACGAGGTTGCGGCGGCAGTTAGCTTCCTACGGTTCACTGGCAGTTAGCTTCTTACCGTTCGTTCGTCCGTCGTATCGACGGCGTTTTCACTTTTTCGTGGGTAAAATGTGGCAGTTATAATGAAGTTTACGCTATGCAGGTGTTCGTCGTCAGCGAAATCGGCAAACGCAAAATGAATGACGTAAAATCGGGACGTAGAAATGGGAACGTTATAGCGGTGAAAACGTTGTCAACGGGGTACGTTGAAACGACGCTCGACTGTACACTCCGGCAGAGTAAAGACACGAGAGTTTCAAGGTTTTATGTATGTTTTATTCATTATATTCCAAATGAAATAGCTTACGTTTCCTCATTCGCCACACCATTTTAGTTGCTGCTCAAGATTGTTATTCAATTTGTGTTTTCATCATTTTTTTCAGCCAATTGTCAGTGTGCAGCAACGCGTGACCTCGTGTGTGATATTTCAGCCTATTTTGGTGCAGCACGGCATTCATTCATGAAACCGCCTTCTCTTTTTATTCCTGTTCATTGATTTTGCAGATACACTTTCACCGCCATTTACACTTTCGAGTCAGTAATAAAGATATTCGCTCGAGGATTCTGCATAGTTCCTTTCACCTTTTTGAGGGACCCATGGAATTGGCTGGACTTCAGTGTCATTGTTATGGCGTAAGTAACAACAAAAATCATTTTTACGGTTCCATGTCAGTGGCCATGTTTTGACTTTCTATGGTACAGGTCGCGCATCAGATCTTTTGAAGATGTCATGCTCATGTGAACGGGTATATATATAATCTTTGAATAATTCGTTTGGTGCTGTCATGGCTTTAGAAAGTTTTTTGAGAAGATGACATTTGGAAATTGTAAGGGAAAGTCATAGAAGCAAACCTCAAATCTCCGCTTGGTTACGTAATTCCTTTGAACTGCCCTCTCACGTTGACAGCTCTACCTGAAGTGTAATACACCATGCACTACACAAAAATGTTTCCAAGTTAAACATAACAGAACCCATCAATTTGCAAATGATGTCTACAAATCAGAGGTGTCCAAAGAAATCAAGTCATGGACAACTAATCGATCATCACATGCATTGACAGATAGAGTCATCGTTTTGAGCCATTCTTGAACTTGAAATCGTCAAAATCCTCTGATTTTAGCTGTTGTAATTGACATAGAAAGCAGCAACCTATCTCTCTGCTCTTTTCATCCAATTCCAGATATGTGACAGAATTTATAGACCTTGGAAACGTCTCGGCACTTAGAACCTTCAGAGTGCTCAGAGCCCTGAAAACCATCTCAGTTATACCCGGTAACGTCTCAATCAAGGAACAAAAGTAGATGTGCGCCAACTCCCCTGATGTCGAATCCCCTCACCATGCAGGTCTGAAGACCATTGTAGGAGCTCTGATCCAGTCTGTGAAGAAGCTAGCAGATGTCATGATCTTGACCGTCTTTTGCCTCAGCGTGTTTGCACTGATTGGCCTGCAGCTCTTCATGGGGCTTTTGCGACAAAAGTGCATTCGCAGCCTCACGCACTGCGTCGACTCCTCCTATAGTCCGAATATGTCATTCACCTGCAACAACAGAAGCTGGAACTCCATGGATGATTTTCTAACCAGTGAAGGTAAGTCCAAATCATTATGTTGGGACACGCAGTAGTTGTTTCTCAAAATAGAATATGACATTACAAGAATGCTCTTCTTGTTTCCATTTCCTTTAGATAATTTTTACAAAGTTGAAGGAGCAAAGGATGCTTTAATATGTGGATATGGCAGTGATGCAGGGTAAGTTGCGACTTGTAACTCATCTGCATGCCGTTATATAATTATCAAAACATCTAGCGTCTTTTGATCACATGCGTGTCATGTTTACGGGCCCCGGGCTTGGTGCAAATAGTCTTTACAGATCCGGCACAAAGAGAAACAAAGACGAGAGGATGCGGCGCTATATTTTAGTCCGTGACATAATGTATAGAGGAGAGATTCCATCAGGAGGGGGCGAGTTGCGAGGGTGTGTTGTAGCGTGAGAGAGGCGGTAGACAAGACGGCATGCAGTGTGGATTATCACTCTAGTGCCACTGGCACCCTGCACTGAGAGGCATGCAGTTGCCAGCTGGAGGGAGAGAGAGAGAGACAGAGAGGGGTGATGGGGGTGGGGGGAGCGGGGTCTTTGGAGATTTCATCATCTCAAAAGCTCCACATTGTGATGAGTTTGAACCAGAGTGGACTGATCACTGGACTGATTGATACTCTGCCACTATGATTGAAAAAAGACACGTCCTGCCCTCTGATTTCTGTGAAGTTAGTCGGACCTGATCGCAGACACGCAATCAATAGATTTTTATCAAATCAAAGAGATTCATAAGAAAGTACAAACGTGTGGGCTATTGGATGCAGTTAAGAGTGATCAGTCCAAATGTACAAAGATCTTGCTCGCAGTGAAGGACTTTGTCATTGGTGTCACACAGGGCCTGTCACAGGAAATCCAAATATTGCTACTCAGCCTACATACGGAATAATCCTATAAATCTGCAAATGCTTTTGAAACAAGCACAACAGGATGACTTCGACCCACGCCAGGCCCAGTTCAGGGGTTATAGTGAACTAAATACCCATCTGCGGCAATCTGAATTCTCGCTTGAACAAATGCCTTCTGTGATGGAAGGTGTTTTTGTTCGCGATCGGAGAAAGGACCAAGAACAAAAAAGAGGAAGCTTTTTCTTTTGGAGGCGACTGTATTTTCCTTACTTCGTGGTTGTTGATCTTGAACTATCCCATGTTTTAAAGTGAATAATACAGCTGGTTTTAGTTTCGTCCATTAAGTTTGAGTACTGGGCTTGACATGCACTAGCGGAAGGACAAAAATTGTGCTATTATCCGTAGAACTGTATTTGATATTCAACACCCTGGATAAGGAACATTCTAAACTCATTGAGAGCCGATATGAACAATAGTAGAGCTGCTTCGATCAATGACTATTGAAGGCATGGCAGCGTCCGAGGTTATTCCCGCGTTTCCTTGGGGATCAGTCAGGCTTGAATGTTGTTGTTTTTAATCCCCCCGGCCCCACACTCACCTACCCTCCAAAAAAGCACAGGGACTTAATCCCCTAAGAAGTCAAATCTGACTCAGTGACTTGTGTTCATTTCAGAGGGAAAAGCAGATATGCTTAAGGGCATTAAAGGGGAAACGACATCATTTTAGGTCAGTAAGATCAGAGCCATCCAGATGCTCGACAGTTTACCTACAAGTTACCAGTGTGCCGTTCTTGTTTAGTGTGTTTACGCCTCATCTGGCAGGCATATCATAGTTTTGACCTTTTACCGCTATTCCATTTTGCTCGCGTATCTTTAACACTGTGTGGGAAAATTAAACGGATGCATCTCATTCTCCACAGTTATTTATTGCATGCTATTTTTTCGATGTATTTCAAGTTTTGACCCCCCACAAAAAAAAGTAATAAAAGCATCATATTTTTTTGTTTGATTGTTTATTTAGATTTTTTTCTCCTCTAGCTAAAATATTTAATTGACCTTAATGATCATCAGCTATTGTAGGTTTTGATGGAACTTCCTAAGGCTGGCTGCGGAGACAAGATATTAAGCAGGTCAGGATGGAGGACGTAAAACATAGAGGATGCTTAATCTTTTGAGTGTATTCCAACAAGTAATCCCTGAGTAGATTTCCAAATTAAAGCTTTGGATAGGGTATGATGACACAAACACACGCAGCCAAGCCTGCAGCAGAGACACCACAAGGCCCAAGTGTGCATGACAAAAATATACATTTCATAGATAGATAGATATGGTGTGTGTGTGAAAACTATCCAAATTTTCCACTGTGTCACAATATTCCCCCCCCCCACCCCCCCAAAAAAAATGTTGAGAAAGTTTGTTAGGATTTACTCATTAGATACATTAAGGATGATTGTTTTATGATGTAAAAAAGGCTCTGGTGTCAAACTTCAGCACCGGCTTACCTCCTGTTCGTATGGCAGCAAATCAAATCCCTTGCGATGTATACATGACACAGGTGTACCACTAAATAGATGTATGGCTGGTCTCCATGGTAGTTACTGCTGTACAAGAGTCTCGCAGGAAGACTCTTTGTTTTGTGATCCGGTGTCATACATTGTTTCCCAACCAGGGTTACAGGAGTGGAACGCAGGGGCTACGTGGAAACATTTAGTCATTTATTTCCCAGACCGATAATCAATAAACAACAAAAAAAGCAGAGCCAACTCAGGTGCCATGAATACTTGTCTGATTATGTCAGTCAAAGCTAAGCATGATTATCTTTGTTTGATCCAAATCGTGTAACCATTAGACTGCAGGTTGACCGTGGGATTTCTTAATTATCTTGTGCCACGCCTGTTTGCGTACGAAACATCTCGTGGGGAGATGTAAGCGGCGGGCTCGCGGTTGCGTTGAATTTGCCCCATGCGATCTAAGCCTCAGCTCATTTCTGCTTCACGTGTTGAGCATTGAAGCAAAGGTACTGTGGATATACGACGATGATGATGACGGCGATGAGGATGAAGGCTCTTCTGTCCTTACCGCCCGCATATTAGTGAGTATCCCTGCCCAGCCGGCTGGTTGTCGGTGAGAGGGTCCAGCTGTTCTCGCAGCAGCACTCTGTGCCCAGCTGTTTCCCTGTCATTATGAAATTATTCTGCACTCAGATTGACATGACAGCCCGGCTTGTTCTCGGCTGCCAGATCTAAATATTTGCTGTAATGCCACCGCGCTGACAATGAAGATCAGCAATGGAGGCAACCAACTGCAAAATGTTTGAACCTCTGTTTGGCGTCCATCTGGCTTGGCGTATAATCCCCTTTTGCTGCGGTGCATTTTAGTGCGGCAGAGTGGGATAATTTCAAGTGCCCTTCTCAGTGGAAATAATGGCGATGATAGCGGCGACATCGACTTATTGAGTCGCCCGCTTCCCTGTGCTGCCGAGTCAAAGGCCACAAGGTTAAACGTTGACGCTCGAGATGTTTTGAACCCTGCTGCGGAGGCACACACGCCATCACAGCTCGCTCTATGTCAGATGCATTTGATTTAATTGTGCCATGCCAAGTCATCATGTACACTTGCCGTTGCAGGAAGTGTCCGGAAGGATTCGACTGCCTGAAGATTGGAAGAAATCCAAACTATGGCTACACCAGCTTTGATACTTTTGGCTGGGCTTTTCTGGCACTTTTCCGTCTCATGACCCAAGACTACTGGGAAAAACTATTTCACCAGGTTCAATCTCAGTTTCAATTCATCATTGTTCTCTAATTAGACATTGCGCAGCCAAATTAATTGTTCAGTTCATTGTGTCATTTGTTCGGGCTTAGCAGCACAATTGCGCATGTACTGATGTTGCTCAATTGCCATTAGTCTTTAAAAAAGGTGTGACTGACTCTTTTTCGAGCAATAACTTGCAGTAATTTCTTGTTCCATGACAATGTCTTATGGTTTACAATAAGACTCTTGTTGACCAATTTTAAATGACTAAAATAATAATAATAATAATAATAAAATAATAAAAATACTAATTTGATCTTGCCAAACAATGAATCTACAGATTCTGTCCACAATGTTTTGTTTATTTGATTTATACATAGACAATTTAGAAACGTCTATCATTACATTCTCATTGTTACGAATGATAATAAAAAAATCAGACCTGATCCTTTGCTTCTAATGCATTTGTGTTTTTCTATCTTCAAGACTCTGCGCTCAGCTGGAAAGACCTACATGGTGTTCTTTGTGCTGGTTATCTTCCTGGGCTCTTTCTACTTGGTAAATTTGATCCTGGCTGTTGTCGCCATGGCCTATGAGGAGCAGAATCAGGCCACCATTGCCGAGGCCTGGCAGAAGGAGAGGGAGTTTCAAATGGCCATGGAGCACCTCCGTCGGGAGCAAAGAGTACGTCCCGTGCAAAGCGTGGCAGAGGATTTGCACGTAATTGCGATTTAACATCGTTCTTCTCCGTATGAAGCTGGCAGCAAAAAGGCAAGCGCAGGAGACGGACTCCATCTTATCGCCCGAGTTGTCTCCGTTCTGTACAAAGATAGGAAGTATGAGGCGATGCAGCACTAAGCGAAGACGATCTCACAGGACGTTATCAGAAGAAACGGCAGTGGAAGCCGAAGAAAAGCTTGACCCTCTAGACGAGCCAAAGGTACCTCACGCAGCCAACCGGTGCATCAATTGCCGGACAGAATTTCAGACGATCAGTAATTGATTATCGTGCCCATTCCTAATGACAACAAACGTCTCTGTGTGTGTAGCCTCCTTTGTCTCCCCTGCCAGCCCACCCGCTTCTGGCCACGCTCTCCTCTCACCCGCTCAGCACCAGAAGAGGAAGCCAGATCAGCATCTTCAGCTCATTTCGGGTGCGCAACAACTCGGAGGCTGACTTCGGGGATGATGAGTACAGCATCCACGGGGATGCTTTCCGAAGCCGCGCCAGTTCAACCGCAACACACTGGAAGAGGAGAGCGGGCAGTGTGAGGAGCCACTGCTCCCAAGTCTTCACCCCAAGTCTCACAGTAAACGGACGGCTCAACGTGTCATTAGACCACAACGGCGTCACAGCAGCGGGGGCTCACACCCTCAGCTCCCTCCCTGCTTACAGCATGGAGGGGATCAAGGAGGACACAGTGAGCGTCTAATGTTTCTTCATCGGCAGTATTAGAAAAGATTTTTACTGTCAGTATCTGTCCCACAGAAGCCCACCAATGAAGGGGGTATTGTCCAAAGGCCTCTCCTTCAGCCGTCCCCTACAGTGACGGAGCGTCCTCCCGTGCACAGAAAAAGAGGACTGAGCTCCGTCAGCTTTTTCAGCGATGCCATGGATGGTTAGTTTTGAGGAAGCATTTTCTCCAGGCCCACCAAAAAAAAAAAAAAAAAAAAAAAAAAACAACCAAAGTGGG